TTCAAATAATGAAAAAAAAAGGGTCAGGGAAAAGCCACAGGCTGGAATTCCAAGACCTGTATCTTTTTAATCCAATCTTAAAAAGCAAACTTTTCAATAAATCAGCCTGATGTTGACAGCAGCTACTGCTGTTGTGTAGAAACAGCACAAAAATGAATGTAAATTATCACAAATTCATGTGAAGCATTCCTTGCTAACAGGAAAAGATCATTAGAGTATTTTGGCAGAAAAGCCTGATCCAAGTGAATATGGCACCTCAACAAACCCCATTTCACTTGCAGCAAGCAGAAGAATAAACAAGTTTCTATACAAGTGTGTTTCTGTAAAACAAACCACTGTAAGAGCTGTTGAGACCTCGTGGGAACTGCTGTTTTCAGAGCAGCTGAGCTCACAGCCTGTCTACAGAAAGAGTGCTCAGGTGACCACACATAACCACTTTTTTTTTCTTTCTATTTCTGACCAGTAGCAAAAGAAATTCTCTAATGTCCTCACCTGCCAGGTTTTAAAATGACCTCTGTGCTGGAGTGGCTCTTACGAGCTGGAGGATCAGACCTGAACTTCCGTAAGGAAGTAGAATAAGAATGTATCAAAGGGACAGTGAAAAAAAGACTCCAGCACAAAACCTTTGTTCTAAGCAGTTCTACACACTGCAGCCCTTGCCTCTAGAAATACCTTAGTATGATAGTATTTGCCCAGGTTCCTATAGATGGAAAAGAGCCCACCTACTCATGACCAGTACCCACAGCAGTTCTGCCATGGATCAAAACTGAGCCTGTAGCTTGTAAGCTCCATTCCTGTCTCCCAGATGCTCTCACCTAACATCACAACACAGAATATAAATAGAAAAGAATCTGCAACATAGCAAGTTACTTAGAGGGTACTTCTTATGAGACTCAGTGTACTGTAATGATTCTGAGTATCATTATACAATAATGAGAAATAAAAAAGCTTCTCTCCATGTAGCCATGGGTACTAGAATCTAGGTCATGTTCTCAAATCAAATAGATTAGATGGGAATTTTACACTTGCTTTATTCTGTGAGACTCCAATGTGCTAGCTCTGCTTCAAGTTTTTACAGAATTCTTAGTCACTGAGAATAATAAATATCAATAGACAAGACAGAGCATCATCAACCAGGGTCAGTACAGAGGTCTTGCTAGCTCTCAGCTAGCATTTCAGCCACCTCGGGCATGCATCATACTTTCAACAAGTTAGGAATGAACTGATCTCTCCTATCCACACACAAGGCAGTCTTAAAATTGTACTGGAAGCAGCCTAGGAGGACTGCAGAGCTCAGGGGAAGCACATGTCACTGACTGATTCATTAGTCCATCCTGTTCAGTGAATGTTTTTTCTTTGCTGCATCGTGACACAATTGCAAACCTCAGTGCAGTTAACAGAAGCTTTTGGCTTGAAAGAAAATTTGGAACAGACTGTTGATTTATAACAAGTGGTAAGACCAGCAGTTATGTTTCTGGTGCCATGAGGAATTACCCCTCCCATAGCTAATGCAGTGGTTATTGCATCAGAGCTTCTAACTGCTTACCTGAAAACATCATCATCATCTGAAGGTCATAGACATGCCAGCTGAAGATGACATACAAAAAAAACCCATTCTCTGCTTCCTTCCATAGAAATGTTACTTTCCTTACATTATGTAAAAGCAAGTTTCCTTATGATATGAGAACCCAGTGTGTGTGGAGAACCAATCTTTTGTGCTCCATCCTATTACATTCACGCCTAAGAGTAGATCTAACTTCGTTGTTTGCTAAGGCAGAAAGTATTCCCAGGTCAACATACACTCTCTGCATGAACAATGAACAAAAGAATGGCTTATATAAAGTGATCAGTATTAATAAGGTGTGCGGGTTTTTTGCTCTAGGTGATTCCTTTGCATATAGACTGACTTAAACAAATTGTGTCCCCACACACAAGACTTCCAGAGGACAGGAGAGTGCCATTTCACCTTAGTGCTCTACTTTCACACACTTTAATCACTTGAAGGGCATTGTTTTTTATAGTTTGTTTTGTTTTTATTCTGTAGAACCTGTTCAATTTATTACTAAAAAATACCAGCCAGGCTTCTTGTAAAGGTTATCTCAAAAGAAGATTGATACTTGGTGCTTGACTGCAGAAAGAAAACCTTTGATGACAGTTATATATATCTCTCATTGCTCCCACAACATGTTCAAAGAGTTGCTGCTTCATACCAAACAAATCTGTAAATGAAATAACAAGTGTGAGTGTGTTATAAATACATGGCTGATGTTATTTTGGTCAGGGCCATCACATTATCTGTAGTAACTCCAGCTGTCCCAAGGACAATGTCACATCTTTCTGCTAAGTCATCTGAAGCAGCAGATGTACTACACTAGCAAACTATAATCTATTGTTTGCTTTTCAAAAGGGAATACTTTGAAATCTCAGCCAAGGGACAGGTGCTAGATCCCATCTAAACTTGCCTCAACATTTAAGAAATAAAAGAAGATGAAAAGATGGGTGTTTACCCCAAGGAACAGATTGCATCACTAACATGGGAAGTATGAAAATGCTGGAATTTAGGCATTAAAAGCAGAGAAATGTTTTTAAAAAGAAAAAAAGATACATATTTATAAAGAAGTGATACAGAAAGGCTCCAGGTAAAGTTTATTTAAATTAAATTCCCTAATAGGCTTTAGAACAATGACTTCGAGATGCCTTATGAGAATTACAACTCCTCTGAAGTTCAGCACTTTAACCTTGACAATAACTTGCTGGCAGTGAAGCTACAGCTAGATCCTAACAAACAGTTTGCATTTGTTTCTGTCAAGGACTATGCACAGGCCTGCTTGTCTTGCAGAGTTAGAGGCTGAAATACTTCTGTAAAAATGAAATTCTTAGAAAACGGATGCAGCTTGAAATCAGTCTTGATACAAATAATTAATAATTTCCTTGTAAATTAATGA